CCGCTGGGCACCGCCGCGGGCCGCCTGTGGCCGGCTCCCCTCCCTCCGTCCCGCCGCGGTTGTGGGGTGCGCTGGCGTTGTGGCTGTTCTCGTGAGCAGCCTGGGGTCACCTGTTTGGGGAGCAAGAGGCGCGGAGACGGAGGGTCCCGCCGCCCACCCTGCCCTTGGCCTTGCCCCCCTGACCTGGCGTTGACCCGGGCGCCTGGCCAGGGTCGGTGTGCCAGGGTTCCCCGTGGTCGCCCTCGCCCTGCGGAGCTGGCAGCCCCGGCGCCCCCGCACCCCCCGCCCGCCCGGCTCCCCAGGGCTCCCCACCAGTGCGGCTCTCAGCTGTTTACAGGCCCGTTCTGTTCCGGCGCCCTCCTGCGCCTTCGACCGCTGTGGGCTGGCAGTGGTGCTTGTCTGTCCTGATGGGCCAAGGCCCAGGCCCGGGGCCGCCATCCCTCGGGGATCTCTGGTGTCTTTCTTGGGAGATTGACACCAGCAGCCAAGGTCTGAGCACGGGGTGTGGCTCACTGCGAAAGTTTAAGAAAGTGCTCAGACTAAAAGAAAAGCTTTTTTAAAAAAAAAAAAAAAGATTATACACATGAAGTGGTGCAGGGGTTGAGAGGACGCCCGGAGACAGAGCGGGGAGCAGAACAGGCGCATGTACTGGGGCCCAGGGCTGAGGGGGCAGCCGGGAGGCAGGAGGGGGCTGCTGCACCTGTGGGTGCCTCCCTGGCAGGCGTCACGCTGGGCTGCCGCTGCCGGGCCTCCATAGCACCGAGACTGACCCCCGTGCTACCAGGGAGGCCCCGACTAAGCTCTGCACCGGGTCTCTCAGGACCAGCACCCCAGACAAGTGTGCAGATGGCCCTCGGAGGACAGTGGCCAGCGCTAGTCAGGCTCGCTCTGGGCCCGGCTGTCTCAGGCGCAATGGGCGAGTCCGGTGACCTCTCTTCAGACTGGTTCCTCTAATTCACTCAAGACTGACAAATCCACATTGGCTGCTTTGCAGGATTCCCAAAGCATAATTTAAAAATGATGATGAATGCCATGCAGCAAATTATATATATTTATTTTTAATGAAATATTTCCACCTTAAACAAAATATTAGAAAAAGAAGTTAAGGCCCTCCCTGGTGGCGCAGCGGGTCACAGCCCAGCACTGAGAAGCTAAAGCCGCTTCCGCACGAGTTCGATGCCCCGGAGGTGACCCCAGGGCGCCCCAGACCTCTCCTGACCCGCCCGCTGCTCCCCTCAGCAGTGGACTTCATCCAGCTGCCTGTTCTGCTCCCCGCTCTGTCTCTGGTGAAGCCTCTCGCCGCCCCTGAGCCTCTGGCCTGTACCCCAGTTCTGTATGCACAAATAAATAAATCTTTAAAAAAAAAAAGTTAAACCAAAATAAACAAAATGAATCGGCTAGCGTTCTGGAAATACCCTGCATCTTCATCTCAGCAGTTGCTTTGCATATTAAACTGAACAGTTAGGTTTGCATATTTTACTGAATGTGAACTCTTGCCCAATAGTCCCAGCGGAAAAGCTCTTAGCAAAAGGAGCGGGGAGGGATCATGCTTAGTGAAATAAGTCAGAAAGAAAAAAAAATACCGGATGGTTTCACTCATAGCAAGAGCGTAAGGGATCAGAAGAAAAAAGAAGCTTGGAAAAAAGAAGCTTCGGTAATGAAGTAAAAGGAAAACAAACAGCTGTAAAGCAGGGACTGCAGGCGGCGGAGGCCAGCAGGATCACAACGGGGCGGGAAGCCTGGCGGCGGAAGCGGGGAGGGCTAAAATGTACAAAGTGAGACTGATACAAAAGTATATATATATAATAAAATATAACATTTTTAAAAGTTAAACTATCTCCGCCTTCAGGCCTCTCAGAAGCCCGGGTGACTCAGACATTGTGTCTTTGCTGCTGAGGTCACTGGCTACTGTAACGACATGCAACTTGAACCTTGTGTTCTCGCCCCTTTTGGAGATGAGGAATTTTTCACCACCAAAATCAGAAACTGTGCTCATTAAGTTCTCACCGCCCCTTCCTCCTCAAGCTCAGAAGAAAAAAAAAAAGCATTGGCAATAGAGCAAACACGTTGCCTTTTCTGAGTAACTAGCACAGGCCAGACCATGCTCTGCTCACTCTTCAGCGGCTCGTCTTTCTCACTCAGCGAAATGCTTCCGGGATTCACCTGCTGTGGAATGACTCAAATGTCACTCCTGGCTTTTCCCTCACAGATAGCCTTTATTTGGTCAAAGTTAATTTTATTTTTCAGTTTTACTTACTCCTGTTTACGGCTGAGTAACTTTCCACTGCAGAGCGGACTCCCTCTTGTTGAACTGTGTACTGACTAGGACGCGGCTGGCTTCACATCTTGGCTCTGTGCCTAACCCAGCCATGAGCACGATGCCCACTTTTGTCCCGGAGCCCATTTTCATAGGCGCGGCGCTGCTGGGTTATATGGCAATATATGTGGACTCCCGAAGAAGGCCCTGTTTCTACAGTGGAAATGGCGGCCATTTTGTATTTCAGTCAGCAAATATAAATTTTATTTCTACATTTTTGATACAAATGTTATGCACACCTACTTGATAAATACAATTCTTATGAAGTTCATGCACCCAAGTGCACTTGTTATAATGAAACCATTAGTGTTTTTAATGTATACTAAAATTTATCTTCAACAATGAGGTGTCTAAAACGCCAAGGGGTGCGATATTCAGTAAATGCCAAATACTCAGTAATATGCCAAAATGGGTCAAAATTATAAACCAGTTTCAGCTTGGCTGGAGAAACAGCCTTCCAGCCACTGAAGAAGGTTCCGGACAATATTAAGACAATCACCGTCAAACCCAGAGTTTAACGCAGACAATGAAGAGAAACATAACAAGGTGCAGAAACTGGCCCGCCCTGGTGGGTGGGCGGCAGGGCAGGACACAGCCCTGCCCGCTGCCGCAGCCGCCTCGGTGCCAGTCCGATCCCCGCCGGAGGTGACCCCAGGGCACGACAGACCTCTCCTGGCCCGCCCGCTGCCCCCTCAGCTGTGGACTTCGCTCACCCCCTGTCCTGCTCCCCGCTCTGTCTCTGGGGAAGCCTCTCACCCCCTGCACCGCTGGCCTGCGCCCCAGCTCGGTGTGCACAAATAATCTTTAAAAAACAAAAGAGCTGCAGAAACTGGTGCCTGTAGGTGCTGACCAAGTTTCTGAGTTCAGCACAGCTGCTCCCTTAGGGTAAAAAGCGACGTTAACCGAACCTAGGTCAAGAGGCCGATGTTGAAGACCTCTTCTATGTGACAGCCAAAGATTTTCTTGAACTTTTTCCGAATGGCAAATGAGGTCACGATGAATGCTCCTTTATTCGAAGCAGTCTTACTTGTCCTGCCCCTCCGCCTACCAACCAACAGAATCAAATTTTTGCCACTGAGGAAAAAAACGCAGATGAGGAAAAATTGAACAGCCTATAAGCTGAGGGGACAGCGAGGCGGCTGCCTGGGGAGCTGCTCTGGGCCAGGCAGCAATGCCCCAGGGAAGCTGCAGGCCAGGTCAGAGGTAGAGAAGAAGAGACTGCAGGCAGCGGGGGAGGGCGGTCCTGAGGGGCTCAGGCTGCAGTCTGTGAGCCCCGGGGCTGGAGGCTGCAGCAAGGCCCAGAAACAGGGCGGGACAGGGCTTCGTGCTGCCGGCTGAGTGGGCGCCGTCTGTCACCAGGCGGCTCTGACCCCTCGCGCTGTCTCCGCAGGGAGCGCTGGGGCAGCCCTGCAGCGCACGAGCACGCCCTCCCGGCCTGCAGCTGCCCCCCAGGAAGCCATGGAGGTGGGTGCGAGGGCAGGCGGGACCGGGAGCTGAGCTCTACACGGAGCAGGGCAGGGGCCGGCGTGGCCCTGGCGGGCACCGGCCACAGCACCCCGCCCTGCAGCCTGCGGTCTTCCCCCACCTGCTTGCCGGCCCCGGTTTGCGTCCCTGGCTCGGCCAGAGGTCCCTTCGGGACATTCTCAGTCGAGGTCTGAAGCTCGGTGACCTCTGGACCTGGGAGCCGGTCCCCCTCCGCTGGCCCCTCACTTCGGGGCGGCCCACAGGGCAGCACACACCTCCTCCAGGAAGCCCTCGTGCCTGCTGGCAGATGTCCCCAGGGCCTGCTGATGCTTCTCTCAAAGCCTTTGTTTCTCCTACTTTAAGGCTCTGGAGAGGGCAGGTGCCGGACTGCCTCCTCCTGGGCAGAGGCCCAGGGGCCCTCCTAGTGGTGGCACCTGCAGGGTCCCTGGGGCCATGTTCCCAGCCTTGCTCAGCCCAGCAGGGTGTCCCAGCCCCAGCCGCACCTGCCGCCAGGCTCTTCCGGGCTGGCAAGCCTGGGCCCAGGGGGCAGGGCGGGGGCCACGGTTGGTTGGCTGTGGGTTCTGAGTGAGGGGCCGCTAGCAGCCAGGCCCCGGGGCACAGGGAGCATGGCCACCTCTGCTGGGCAGGGGCTCTGGTGCCCACGGCCCACGTGCCAGTTCACCTGGGCAAGGGGCCCTGCTCCGGCCTGTCCCGGCATCTCCATGTGAAGTGCCAGATGCTAGATGCTCTGCTGAGCGGGGGCTCCTCGAGCCGTCGGTCTGGCGCATTCACCTTGCCAACGCTGGGCACGCTGCCAGGGGCTCCACAGGCCTGCAGTGAAGATGGAGACAGTGAGGAGCCAGGGCCCTCGCCCAGGGAACAGGGAGCAGTCACCGGCCTGCCGGGCGGGGCTGCACCCCCACAGGGGCAGAGGAAGGTGGGAGCCCAAAGGAGGTGGGGGAGGTGAGAAAGGGAAGAGAAGAGGCAGGGCTCAGGGGAGGAAGGAGTGAGGGTGGTGGGTGACGAGAGGGCGCAGCGTGGAGCAGAGGTTTTCCACGCCGCCAGCCACCGGCTCCACACGCTTCCCCCTTGTTCCTCAAAGCCAGGCCGGCCGTGGGCGGAGAGCGGCGGGGTGCGCCAAGCAGAAGGGGAGGGCGCAGGGCAGCGAGGGGGAGACGGGCGGACGGCGCGGGAAGGGAGCGGAGAGGCCACAGTGCCCCCGTAGAGACCACAGGCCTGGGTGACAGGTGTGCCGGCCGGGTGACAGGTGTGCCG